ACACTGTTTCATGTTGGATTCTGCACCATGACATACCAGATAGACGGTCATCTAGAGACGGGAAGCTGCCCACCTCCTGGGAAGGCTCACTTCATTACTGGGCAGTTCTAATTGTTAAAAATACAAAAACAAACAAACAAAAAAAGATAATTCTATAGACCTGAGATCTTGTTCCTGGCACCTTCTGCCCATTCACCCTAGTTTTGCCCTCTGGGGCTTTAGAGAGGTGGAGGGGAAGCCTGGTTCCTCTTCCAAGGCAGCCTTTTAGATTTTCAGTGGTAGTGAATCTGTTCAGTACCCCTCTATCTTGTTGATCTTCCAGGGTTGAGATGTTGGGGAAGCACTTTTTTTAATTTCAAGAAGCAGTCAGGTTAGACTTTGGTTCATTGTTTTTTGAAAGTCTTATATGTACATGTCACAGCGCTCAGTGCCATATTCCTCTGGTCCCCTCAGAGGTGTAACACTTGTCCCCCGGGGGAAGATGTGGGCTCATCCTACCATGGATGGCTGTTTTGGAGGTAAAAGGTTAGCAATTCTTAGTTCAGTACCCCACCACCCCCAATTAACTCTCCTGGGCAATGTTGTGTGAGGGCTAGTTTTCGCTTGGCTGAAGTAACCAGATGAGGCCAGGGGGATGAATCAGGGAATAAAAGAATCTCCCATTAGTAGAGCCCCCCCAGGGCCATGACTTAGGTGTTCTAGGCATTCTGCAGACAGAGGATTTTATTCTCACTTCTTTTTCTCCCTCTCTTTCTTCCTGACCTCACCACCCAGAACACTTTCTACTGTTCTTTCAGCCACGAGGCAGCGTGCTGTAATAAAGAGAGCCAGACAGGGCTATGTTTAAATCCTGGCACTGCTGCTTGGAAGCTCTGAGAACCTGGGTGGGTTACCTGAGCTCTGTGAGCCATTGTTTTCCCATCTCTGAAATAACCACCTCTGTGTTACAGAGAAAATGCTTGTGAGGCTTCTGGTCCAATCTGTGATATGCAGAAGGCACACAAGCATCAGCTTCCTGCTCCCCTTTTTCCTTCCCCCAACCTTCTTTCACTACCTTTTTTGAGGGATTTAAAGGCAAAACACTCTGTGGCTTCCCTGGGGAAAATGAACTGAATGTGGCTATAGTAGCCAGCTAGTTTGGGGTTGAGTATTTAGGAACAAACTGTCAGTTTCCTGTGAACTCCTGGTGAGATCAAAGATGTTAAAAGAGAGTTCTCAAGTAGGAGAGGCTGAGAAGGCTGTAAATGGCACTAAGTGACCTCTCCAGCTACTGTTGACTTCCCGCACACGTTTCTGGGCTATTTAATACTGCTGCCTGCTGCCAACGGGTAACAAAGCCTGTTCCCCAGGCAGCTTAGACTTGCATGCAGCAACCCTTCAAATGAAATGGTTTCCTTGGGGACTCCTTGTGATCCCTAAAATGTTGAGCTGTCTCTCTTTCGGTGTATTTTCCCACACTCCATCTGCCTCTGCTGTTCCCTGCTTCCCTCTACCACTCCAGTCTCAGTCAGCCACACTTAGCATCCAAGGAAACATTATTTCTGGACTAGGAACTTTCTAGTAGTCACATCCATACCCTGTTGATAGGCCAGGAAACCTGCACATTAACTTGGATTGCATAAGCGAGCCATGTTTTACAGCAGCTGATGAGAGTTAAGAAACAAGAAAATAACTGCCTAAGCCTGTAACACTCCCAGTGAAGGGGGGAGGAGAGACAGAGGAGTTGTGGGGTTGGAGGTCCCACAGGGGAGCCCATCCCTGGCTCTCAGCAGATGTGTCAGTGCTTTCTATGGGCTGGGGCCTGGGGATGCTTGCAGACTGGGGACATAGGGGTACAAGTAACCAGAACACAAGGTTCCAGAGCCCAGAGGAGAAAGGCAGAGGCAGGGAGGTTTTGTGGGGGAAGAGAATTCCAGCTGGACTGTGTGGGGCGGGCAGGGTTCAGGAATTACTCTCACCTCAGTCAGAAAAGCCTGGGAAGCAGGATCAAAGTTTAACTGCCTCAGGACGAAGGAAGTCATGCACATTGGCCATTTCTCCATCAGCCCCAACTGAATATTTTTAATTAAGTAATGGATCATCCTTGCTTTGGAATTGGACAGAAGAAAACACTCCCACTTCTGGGCAACTATTTTGCCGACATTTTCTTTCAGTAGTAACTGACAGTTCCTGTCTGTGGGAGCAGTCAAATAGTGGGATTGCTCAAAGATTTGAGTGTCTCATTTCTTTCCTGCTCTAGCAAATCTCCCTGTCCTCTGTGGTCACTAAGCTGGAGGCGTTTCGGGCTAAAATCCTGTCACAAAGCAGACTTTTCAGCTAAGTGGTTCACACTTGGTGGGCTGTAGCTAGTGCGAGCTCTCACCATCCCACTGCTCACAATCTCTTGCTATCTGGGCGGAGCTGGAGAAAGCCGAGGGGGCCTGGTGGGCCCCAGCCCCCATCCTGCTAGGACATTCTTCTGTGTTCCTGGAGCTGGGCTCTCACACTTGGGTGTTTGTTTTCACACATAGTCACACAGTGGTCACACTGGCATGCTTGTTTTCACACTCCTCTCCTGCTATGGAAAGCCCTGTCTGAGATTCTGGGCTGTGGATTCCGTCCTCTCCACCCAACTGAGTGTGAAATAGTTTCTGAGTGAGCATGCAGAGTGCCTGGGAGTTACGGTAATTAGCAAAAAAAATGGTGTTTTCGTGTCTTGGTGACCGATAGAGAAAGAATCCTCCTTTGAAGGAGATCAGCTTCAGATCTCTGGCCAGAGAGAATTGGGAATTGAGCTGCCACAGTAAACAGCTGACATAACAGAAGCGGCAATGATCCCCCATTAAATGTCTTTCAGCCGATAGGGGCTCCTGGGATAATTGACTTTCCAGCAGGAATTACTGGCTCAAACAAAATCAGTGGGCATTAGGGCAGCCTACTACATCCATTGAAAGGGGTATGTAACTCTCTCTGGTTTTGCTGACCTGACAGGCATAATTCATCTTGATTATTCATTGTGTTAGTTGCCACCAGATGACACCAGATTTCTGGTGACTGTAATTATAATGCGGGGGTGAGTTTTATCTTTTTTTTTTTTTTTTAGACAATGTTCTTCCTGCTTGGTTCTTTGCTTCCTTGAGCTGAAGGTGCTGGAGGAAGGATTCCAACAATGTCCACCCCAGCAGACGATGAGCACACAGTCAGATGGCTTTACTGAGCCCTTCCTTACATACATCTTTTACTAGATAAGCAGGAAAACAATTTGGGGTAGCCTGTTTCGTTTCAACTGACAGCGTGTTACTTCTACTTGGTTTTTCTTACCTCCCCATATGCTGAGTTGCTGCTGTCAGAAATTGGGTCTGCATCTCTGAGCCCACTTTGAGTAGGGGAAGCAAATTATGGCCCCAAAATATAGCTGAATAATGCCTACTTCTTTCAGGAAAGCATTATTATAGGGGGAGGTGGGAGAGGTTGGAATTCAGGCTTTCCTTTTATTGCCATGATTTTAGAATGAGATCCCTATGTAGTCCGTAGTCCAAAGAATGTTCTCCCAAGAAACCTGTGCTGCCCAACCCCATGTGGTCCTCCCCCACCACCTACACACTCCAGCCAGCTAGGTGGCTTGCATGTGCGTGCACCTGTGACCTTGGGAGAGAAAATGTGACAGGCTTGGTGTGTCCAGTCCCATCCACTGAGTCATCCACTGACCTGTGGATCAGGGGTGAACAGCAGAGTCATACTATGACATTTCCTACTCCCCACTAGCTCAGACATTTTTTTTTTTTTCCCCCTTTTTTTTGTCTTTTTTTTTCGTGGCCGGCAACGGATCGCAACCTTCAGTGTCGTGCCCGCACCGGACCGGGACCGGCAATGGGATCGCAACCCTCAGTGTTGCCCCCGCACCTTGCTCAGCCAGTGAGCGGCCGGTCTGTATGTGGGATCCGAACCCTCGGCGGGAGCGCCACCGCGCTTCCCAAGCAGCGCACTATAGCAGTGCGCCACCGGGCCAGCCCCATAGCTCAGACTTTTTAACTCTCCTATATGGTATGTGTGTTTGTATGTTTCTTGAAGAAGTGCTTCATTGGTTCAAATAACCAGTTAATTATGTGTCAGGCAGTGTATGTGCTGGCGGTCCGAAGATACATAAACACCTTTGCTCTCACGGGGCTTTACCATATGTTGGGGATGACAGTTAATTCCAAAGTAATGTGTTTCTAAGCTAGAAATGGACAGAAATTTCTTTCTAGAGTACTCAGCACAGCCATGGGTGAAGAAGAGATGCCTCATTTAAGGAATAAGAGTTGCTCAACTGAATAAAGTAGGAAGCAAGTTTAAGAATGTAAACAAAGGCATATTTCCATCTACTCCTCTTCCACTGAAGGGTGTTGGTTAGGTTAAACCTAATCAGGTAAATTAGGCTTACGTTTTCACTATTTCTCTAATGAAAATGAACTCTCACCCTACTGGCACAGTGTCTGTACCTTGGGAACTGTCTCAGGCTGTAGTAGCCCTCATGTCACAGGGAGTTCTTGTCACTGTGCTTAGAGCGTCTAATGGTGAGATCACAACTTCAGGATCTGTGTCCTGCTGCCTTTGGCTCTTTATCCCCCACTTTAAGTATTGTGTGGGAAACCAGGCTAAGTATCTTCACAACCTGCAGAAAAGTGGTGTATCTCAGAATGATGGCTTCTGGAAGATCAGCTGGGTTTGAGCAGCTTCTCAGAAAATTGGGCCCTCGTGTCCCTCTCTTTCAGGATTATCAGGTATAAGTGACACTCACCCTTTTCCAACAAATGGAGATGATTCTTCCACCTGACTCCCTTTTATTTTGGAGTCATAATGGAAAGCAAAAAAAGATGTCCCTGTCAGTGTGGCAGAGGTGGTCATCTGAACAATCTTTTGTAGTGTGAGCCAGAATAGCACAATTGCAAAGGTCTTTTTCTTCCCCAAATGATTGCCTTGCCCTTTATCACTCTTTCTCTTCCTATTCCCCTCTCAACTTTGTGTTTTGTTCCCCTTAGAATGGTGGTTTGGCCTGGAGTGATGATCCAGATGGAGGCCGGGGAAGAGAGATCTCTCGAGATTTTGCCAAGGTCTGTAATATTTCTTTTGTGATAAAGATAGGAACAGTTCTGTAGTGGGTGGTTGTATCTGATCCCCAAGAAATAAGGACAAGAGTGGCCACTGAGTCACATTTGTAATTACTCAGATGGTTGTGGTATCTCTGCTGTAAGACTTCCTGCAACAAGATGGAGTTTTTCATTGTGTTTTTTGGGGGGGATTGGGATTGCAGCTGTATGAGCTGGACGGTGATCCTGAAAGGAAAGAGTTCCTGGATGACCTCTTCATCTTTATGCAGAAGAGGGGTGAGTGTGCAGTCTACTCATCATTTCAATGCGGTGAAACTTTATGGAGTGCCTACTGTGTGCTAGTCACTATTAACTGTCCTCCCACACCTATCCTCGTCCAGGAGGAGATATATTTACTGCTGATTGGTTCTGGATTTAGACGAATAATTTGACAACCAGATTGAAGAGGGCAGGAGGGCCTTGGCAAAAAATGAATGGAATGATCCTTCGCATTTGGCCCTGCCTTATTTTTTTCTCTCTTCTAATTAACTGGTCTCTGGGGTCACGTCAAATTCAAATATACTTTTATCTTAGCCTTATAGCTGCCCTAGGATTTACTTATACTAGCATGTGAAGCTTCCTGTTGGTGTATCTAGTCTTACAGAGACTGAGAAAGGTAAGTAAAAGACTAGAGACGCCCTTCAGGACTTTTTGGAGAGTCTGAAATGATTCATGGAAAGGAAAGCCCAGCTCTTTCTTTTCCATTGGCTCTTCGATTTTTGCATCCACTGGCTTGGCTGGAACATTTCTGCAGTTTAACTGTGGGGTTCATGGACATCTGCTTTATAATGCACCCTCCCAATTATCTGTCCTCACTCCCTTCGCCTGCCTCCCCCACCCCCACCCCCACCAGCCACCAATAGCATCTCCACTCTGGACCATGGCATGACTGAGTCTTGAGCACGGTGACTCAACTTCCTGACTTTATATCCTGTCATAGCAATGAGTTCATCAGCTGGGTCAGCCTTCAGGAAACATGGCCAGAACCCCAGCCTCTCTAAGAAAAGGTCCTCAGCAACCTGTGTGGCCCCAGCTTCATCACTCTCAGGACAAAGCCATAGGAGAGAACTGCTCCCACCAGCCTTTATAATGCCCCCTCCCAATTATCTGTCCTCACTCCCTTCGCCTGCCTCCCCCACCCCCACCCCCACCAGCCACCAATAGCATCTCCACTCTGGACCATGGCATGACTGAGTCTTGAGCACGGTGACTCAACTTCCTGACTTTATATCCTGTCATAGCAATGAGTTCATCAGCTGGGTCAGCCTTCAGGAAACATGGCCAGAACCCCAGCCTCTCTAAGAAAAGGTCCTCAGCAACCTGTGTGGCCCCAGCTTCATCACTCTCAGGACAAAGCCATAGGAGAGAACTGCTCCCACCAGCCTCTTCCCCAGGATCCTGCTTATACTGATCATGCATCCCTTGGTGTCTGTGTCAGCAACTTTATTGAGACCTGGGAGTAAAATCCTCCCTTTATCCTACGCTGAGCTATAATGGCAGCCCCCATCAGCTGAATATTCTGAATTAACTCTCTCTCCCTCTCTCCCCACCTCTCTCTCCTTCTCTTTCTGTCTCTCTCTCTTTCCCTCTCTACCTCTCTCTTCCTCCCTCCCTCCCTTTCTCCCTCTCTCCCCCTCCCCCTCACTACCTCTCTCCCCCTCCCCCTCACTACCTCTCTCCTCCTCCCCCTCCCTACCTCTCTCCCTCTCCTTCCTTCCCTCCCCTCTTACCTTCCAAAGCTTTATTGCCTTCTTGATAGCATGCTTATTGCTGCTGGTTTTCTTAGAAAGGCAAGAAAGTTTTGAGTCTCAGTTTCCCACAATCTCCAAGCCTATCAAAGCAGTCTAAGCAGCCCTAATTAGTTTACTCCTGCAGCTGTTATCTGGAGCTGCATGTGTCAGTAAAAAACAAGAATATAATCCTGAAAGATAATGTGACTGGCAGCAGTGAAACTCCCTGGTTGCCCTAAGAGAGAGAAATCCACTTAATACTTTGGTCTCCCATTCCAATTACCTTTTAATTATTTACAAGCTCCACAAGCCCAGCTGGTGCAAACCCAGGAGCCAGTCCTGTCTCAGAGGGGCTGCCATAGCAATATAGATTTTAATCAGCAGTGTAGCTCCACTGCTTTATTTTCTACTTTATTGTTTTTCTCCCTTCCCAGAAGGATTTTTAAAGGAAAATGGAAGTTAGATCAACCTAGCCAAGAGTGAAGATCAGTAATTGTTTGTTTACTACTATATATCCTCACTTGAGTAGGAGCTCCTCAAGGACAGCCACTTTGTCATTCCATTGTGTCCCCGGTGCTATCACAGGGCTAGGCAGAGAGATGCTCAGGACGTGTTTGCTGTGTGAGCAGTCTTGTTAGTTTTCCTTCCTTGGTTTGCCACACACAGGGTGCAGATTTTGGGTGCATCTGCCTCCTTTAGACAACTGCCCTGTAATTGAGAGTCAGCAGCAGAGAGTGGTCTTTACTGTGTATCCTGCTATTCCACAGCAACTGAGACTGCCAGATTGCCATCTAGTTTATTTCTGAGGAACCCAAAACAGGTAGTATAAGTGACTCCTTTGATAATGTCAGTTTATGGTCATTCAGGTTTTGAAGACATCTTTGTCCTGTCTTCAGCACTTATGTCAGGTATTTCACTGTTTGCTGGCATCACCAATAGAAGGGAAACACTTTAGTCTGCTATTTGTTAGTTACTCTAATACAAGGCTACTCAGTCTCAGCACTGTTGACTTTTGGGACTGGACAGTCCTTTGTTGTGAGGCCGTCCTGTAGGATGTTTAGCAGTATCTGTGGTTTCTATGCACTAGATGCCAGTAGCAACCCCCCAGTCATGACAACCAAAAATGTCTCTAGATATTATAAATGTTCCCTGAGGGGCAAAATTGCCCCCTGTTGAGAACCATTGCTGTAGAAGGATAGGAAAGAGAGTAAAGATACACAGTTTCTTCTGCAGGAAAAAACTCTTTATGGAAATCATCGGACCTTCGCTCAGGTACCCCAGGGCGGGCCTGTGTTGGGCAGTATCTCAACCTCCCCTCCTGTGACTGAGTGCCAGAGAAGTAGGAGCTGGGATCCCTATTCTAGGTTAGAGTACAGAGAAGACCCCTAAGCTGTGGCTTCAGTGTTTTGGTGGCCTAGGAGTGAAGGCAGCACATGGGTGGAGGTTGAGATGCTGTGACATGTGTGGCCCTGGCACAGCTGGAAGAACCCTGGTTGGTGGCCTGGAGTCAGGGCTGTCCTGAATGTATCAGTCGGCACCAGACTATGAAGAGCTGTGTTGGGCCAAGAAGTTAGCACTTAAGTCTATAGACATAGCCAAGTTGTTAAAGGCAGAATGTGAGCTTTCCGGAACCTTGCTGTGGCAGCAGTGTGTAGTTGGGCTGGAGAGGAGAGGCTGAGACAGAGAGACAGTGTGGAGGTTGTTCACTTTAAATTCACAGTGGTCTCCTTTCTGGAAAGCTCTGTAGTCTTAATCAGAGTGGGTGGTTCCGGAGGGTTGGGAGCAGATTGTACTTTTAATCACGTGAAGCTTGCTGTCTTCACTCTTCACAGAATGGTGAGACCAAGGGCCCCTGGATATTCGTGACTTATTTGTCACTCCTGAAGTGGAGTGTCTGGCACACTCAAGAGGCAGCTCTTGTTAGCTGGGACCAAGAAAAACCCCCTTAGACCTCAGCAGCAAGTCAGCGACTCTGCCTCCAGAACTAAAGGATAAGTGATAGATTTCACAGGAGCCACAGAGAACAGTCCGAGCCCGAAAGGCCTGGTGACGCCCTCCAGGGCTGTGAGTGGGCTGGGCTCTTTGACACAGCATGCTGCCCCTGCAGAGGAAGTGGACAGGGCTCCAAGGGAGGCAGCAGGCTGCCCCAAATGACTGCAGCTGCAGGTGATAAAACAGCTGTCCAGTGGGAGCAGGGGACAGGCTGTAACTGTGGCTTTGTGCTGTGTCTCTTGCTTGTTAACATGTTTTGGTGAATGGACCGCAACAGTTGGGCCTTTCCGCCCTTGGCACCTTGGTTTCTAGGCCAGACTAGGGTGACTTGCACCCTGCTGGCCTCCTCCCTGACCAGCAGAGCAACCTGCCAGTAGAGAAGCCTGAGAAGAGTGGAGAGGGTCGAGGCAGTGCCCAGGCAGGCTCGCCGTCTCCTGCCAGCCTCGGGAAGCAGCGCTGCTGCAGCTGTGTCAGGAGGCCTGCGGAGGTGGAAAGAGCTAACATCCCAACCTTCTCATGATCTTGAGCAAATCCTTCCCCTCCCGTGGCCACAGTTTCCTTAGCTGTAGAATGAGAGGGCTCAGTTAGAGGCAGCCTACAAAATTCTTTGTTCTGGAACTTGTCCGTGATTGTGTCTGTTGAGCTACCCATAGATGATGAGCAACCCTTGATGAACAAAAAATAAAAGAAGAAAAGCCCCTTTAGCAGTTTTTTATGAAAATAATTTATGAAAATTATACCAAGAATCTTCAAGACCAAATGCTTCTCCCCTTTCCTTGCTAAATTATGTATTTCCTCTTTTGCTGACTTTTGCCAAATTGAATTAAACAAGTTGCCCAGAATATTTCTCTAGAAAAGACTGGTTAGTTTTACAACTCCAATGCTCCTTTTTGCCCACCTTTTGCCATATTACTTGCATGCGTGCACAAAAATACACGGGGCTGGCGAGTTAGCTCAGTTGGTTAGAGCATGGTGCTGATAACACAAAGACCCAGGGTTCGATACCTGTTCTGGCCAACTGCCCCCCCATCTCCCCCCCCCCAAAAAAAAAACACACACATTTCTTTGCTAAAAATAAAGCTGAACAATTCTAAATAAAATTGTCTGGCTAATTTAACTCAGTGTGGGTGGTTTCTGAGATATCATTCCCTCATATATTTTCCGTTTAGTGTTTCAGTGCCCGAGCCAAGGGACTAATTTGTAAGTCTGATAGGCAAAGGCTATGTATAAACAATTCCATTTTTCCTTCATCAGTGAGGAAGAAAAACTTGCTCCCTTGTTCCCTAGGAGGTGAAATAGGAGTGTGATCTTATTAAAGAGTCAGGATGATGATGATGATGGTTTTGCTGTTATTTTTATTGTTACCATACCGTGTACTTTACAGAACCCTTTCAGCCCATTATCTGATCTGCTGCTCCTCACAGCTCCAGCTCTGTGGGATAGAGAGAGCAAGAGTGGTCACCTGTAGCCATGGAGAATCAGGAACCTTGGGCCACAGAGCAGACTTAGTACTTA